CCCCCCCCCCCCCCCCCAGGGCATCCCGGGGCCGCTGGCATGGGATCCGCTGGGTCCCAGCCCCACGTGGGATCTCCTGCGTCCCTCCTCCGCCTGGGATCCACTGGGTCCCAGCCCCACGTGGGATCTCCTGCGTCCCTCCTCCGCATGGGATCTGCTGGGTCCCTCCTCCACCTGGGATCCACTGGGTCCCAGCCCCACATGGGATCTCCTGCATCCCTCCTCCGCATGGGATCTGCTGGGTCCCAGCCCCACAAGGGATCTCCTAGGTCCCTCCTCCGCATGGGATCCGCTGGGTCCCAGCCCCACAGGGGATCTCCTGCATCCCTCCTCCGCATGGGATCCGCTGGGTCCCCGCCCCACGGGGGATCTGCTGGAGTCTGACACTGCCCTGGTACTCGTAAGGGATCTATAGGGCTCGTATAGGCTCCCGCGGTGCCCCCTGTACTCATGGGGGATCCAGTGGATCCCAGCGCCACGGGAGATCCACGTGCTCATAAGGGATTCTCATGGGGTCCTGCTGGCTGGGTCCCCGCCCCACGGGGGATCTGCTGGAGTCTGACACTGCCCTGGTACTCGTAAGGGATCTATAGGGCTCGTATAGGCTCCCGCGGTGCCCCCTGTACTCATGGGGGATCCAGTGGATCCCAGCGCCACGGGAGATCCACGTGCTCATAAGGGATTCTCATGGGGTCCTGCTGTACCCTGCCTCGGGGATCCCAGGGACTGCTGGCATGGGATCCACTGGGTCCCAGCCCCATGTGGGATCTACTGGGTCCCTGTGGGATCCCTGGAGGCCCATGCTGTCCTAGTAGTTGTAAGGGATCTATAGGGCTCTTACAGGTTCCCGCAGTGCCCCCTGTACTCGCGGGGGATCCACTGGATCCCAGCACCACGTGGGATCCACATGCTCACGGGGGATTCATGAGGTCCTGCTGTACACACACGGGGTGCTGGAGACTGCTGGCATGGGATCCACTAGGTTCCGGCCCCACGTGGGACCTCCTGGAGTCTGACACTGTCCTGGTACTCCTAAGGGACCTATAGGGCTCATATAGGCTCACGTGGTGGCCCCTGTACTCACAGGGGATCCACTGGATCCCAGCACCACAGGAGATCCATGTGCTCATAAGGGATTCTCATGGGGTCCTGCTGTACCCCTGCCTTGGGGCTGCTGGCATGGGATCCACTGGGTCCCAGCCCCACATGGGATCCACTGGGTTCATGTGGGATCCCTGGAGGCCCACGCTATCCTGGTACTGGTAAGGGATCTATAGGGCTCCTGGGGTGCCCTCTGTACTCATGGGGGATCCACTGGATCCCAGCACCACGTGGGATCCATGTGCTCATAAGGGATTCTCATGGGGTCCTGCTGTACCACACCACCACCCCCCCCAGGGGATTCTGGAGGCTGCTAGCATGGGATCCACTGGGTCCCGGCCCTGCATGGATCTGCTGGGTTCACATGGGATCCCTGGAGTCCAATACTGTCCTGGTATTTGCAAGGGATCTATAGGGCTCTTAGAGGCTCCCACAGTACCCCCTGTACTTATGAGGGATCCACTGGGTCCCAATACCACAGGGGATCCGACAGGGCTCACGCAGGATCCCTGGAGTCCCACGATCTCCCGCTCCTGATGAGGGATCTATAGGGGACTGCTAGAGGCCCACAGCGCTCCCTCTCCTGACAAGGGAGCCACTGGATCCCACGGTGTCCACCCTGTGCTCGCAAGGGATCAGTGGGATCCATATGGCTCACAGGGGATCCCCAGAGTCCCACCGTGGCCGCTGCACTCACGTAGGATCCACTGGGCCCACATGGGATCCCTGGAGCCCCACACCATCCTTGTGCTCATGAGGTCCCTGTGGCCCACGTGGGATCCACAGGGTCCCACCCACGTCCCTGCATAGGATCTACCAGGTCCCACTGTGCCCTCACGGGATCTCCGCGGCTGACATTGGACCCACTGGGTCCCAGGGACATATGGGATCCACGGGGCTCACAGGGAACCCCTGGAGTCCCACAATGTCTCCTATACTCACATGGGATCCCCAGGGCTCATAAAGGATCCCCTAGAGTCCGACAGCACCCCCTGTATTCCTATGGGATCCAATGGATCCCAGTGTTACATGGTATCTATAGCAACTTTGAGTCCCACAGTGCCCCCCCTATACTGACTGGGGAGCCACTGGATCCCAGTCTCCCCTATGCTCACGTGGGCTCCATATGGCTCACATGGGATCCACTGGGTCCCCCAGGGTCACGTGGGATCTGGGGGGGCTCACATAGGATCCCTCGAGTCCCACAGTGCCCCCAATGGATCCAGTGGATCCCATGGTGCCCCCTGAACTCACCCGTTGTCCCTATACTCACAGGGATCTTACGCAAGCCCTACAGATCCGCAGGATCCCACGAGTCCCGCAGGATCCCTGTGCTCACACAAAACGCGTTGGGCTCACAAGGGATCCACCAGGTCCCAGCGCCACATCAGCTCCCTAAAATCCTGCAGCATGGCCCTGGGCTCAGATGGGAGCCCTAGGACCCACAACAGGATCCAGTTGATCCCCCATGCTCACAACGGATCTCCAGGGCCTGCAGGGGAGCCCTAGCACTCATACGGGATCCCTGGAATCCCACACTGCCCCTGTACCCACGTACGAGATCCCTGGAATCCCACACTGCCCCTGTACCCACACAGGATCCTACGAGGAACCCTATAGGCCCACAGCACCCCCTGTACTCGCAAGGGATCCACTGGATCTCTCCCCTGCGCTCAACGTGGAATCCCTGGAGCCCCACAGCCTTCCCTGGGCTCGGGGGGATCCATAGGGCCCATGGGGGGGATCCATAGGGCCCATGGGGGGGAT